GAAAAACAAATGAACTCTAAAAAGCCTCATCTATAGATGAACACTGAATTGACATGAATCACAAGATTAATATGAAAACAGCTTTGAAGCTTATTTGTGGAAACATTCAAGGGTACTTACTACAGCTATTGTTAGACTTAAGCTAACCCCCTCCCAATCGTGTATAGAAAAACGATGTTTTATTACTATTAACCTACATTAATGATTCTTATCTGATCATATAACCAGACGTAGTGTTAATTATTTTTAAATCCTTTCTCCCACTCAGTGTATTTTAACTGGCCTTTATTTTTCATATAAACTGATTTGACAAACAAATGTGTGTTATCACATAGTTCGAAATATTTTGTGGGAGAACACAACATCTTTCAGATAATCTTCATTTTCCGATAACAGTATCCAAATCAACTAAAGGGACTAACTAATATATGTGGGTAGACCTTAGGCACTTCCGTAGTATGTAATCAGTGGAACTAACAAGAAGAACTGACGGAGCTTAAGAAGATTGATCCATAGAAAACCTACTTGGAATGGTCAACTAACAAGCTTCAACAAGAGCGAAATTTAATTAAATCACTTGCTACCCGCATCCAACGCATCTGCAGTCCCGGCGTTCTGGAAACAGAATTAGATATTCTAAGAGAAATTTTCATCCAAAATGGATACCCAATAAGATCCATCGACAGAAATATCAAACCAAGAATTCGGAGAAACAAAACTTTAGCTGCTCCAAAAAAAAGAAACTCTACATGAACTTGGATTTCAAGGGAGATTTAGCAAGCGATATTCTCAAGAGATGAATCACATCATCTCTGAGAAGAACATTCTTTGCAGCAACGCTAAGAATAGTGTTCTCCAGTCGCCCACTGATTTGCAGAAGCCTCAAGGACAAGATCCCGCATCTGACCACCTCTATGTGCATATATCAGTTCACCTGTTGCTGTGGAGCCAGGTACATCGGTCGTTCGACGCGCACCCTGTCCAACAGGATTCAAGAACACTATCCAGCATGGTTGCGAAAAGGCAATAGTGGTGCAATAAGGAGTGCGATAATTGAACACCTGGTTAACACTGATCATTCCATTTCAACAAACGCCTCCTTCAAAGTAATCTACAGAGTCAAGAACAACCTATCAAAGGCAATACGGTTTCGCCTTCTTTGTATCGCTGAAGCTGCGGCCATTCACATAGAAAAACCGTAGCTGTGCATACAAAAGAGGATTACTCAACCACTTCTACTGTCTTGGTGACAACTTTTTCGATTTGATTTTGATGACTTAATTTTGTTTCTTTGCCTGTTCTTTAATTGCTTATGATTCTTGTATTCGTTTAGAACTCTTACTTAATCTCGTATTATCTATTTTGTTCCTATGTGTATCCTGAGTAAAACTCACTTATCAAACTATTCATATTATTACATAACTTCTTTTAACAACTGTTTGTGACAATTCATCACCTTTGTTACTACCCTAATTTCGCTAACACCTAATTTTCTTGACTGATTTTGTATTACGTAACTCCAATTACCAATCTTCCCCTGTTTAGTTAAAATAACTATAACCAATTGTATTTTGTTTGACAAACTTAATGTACACATACACAGGAAATAACACATATATATTTGCGATTGTACAGCTAAGACAATGAATTCACCGAAAAGAGACTCTTCGCTGATCTACGTGTTTTGTTTTCACAAATCAAGAAGTTATTGCTCAACAAAGATTGAGAAGAAGATGGAGATGGATTGTGCACACTCTGAGGAGAACGTTGAATGATATTTCGCTCAATGTAGGCGATCGCTCGAGTGGAGGATGAATGGGAAACGACGAGTTGGTCGTGGTGTGTTGGAGGGTGACATAGAGGAGATCGTGTGGCGAGGAGTAGATGAGAGATTATGGGTAATCGTGGCCTCTTCTAAAGATGTCTGCAGAGAATAGAGCAAAGTGAAGACGTGGTCTACTGGGAAACCAAGGGCAACAATAATAATAATACATTTTCAAAGAAGATCTTAAAAACCACTGGAACTTATGGAGAATTGTGGGGCCGGTTGAATAGGACAAAATGGAGAGGTACTGTTGAAGCCTTATGTCGCACTTGGAAGCCAAAAGAATAATAATATTTAACTTTCAACCAGTGGATACTGAATTCAAATCACGCCCCACCCAATGAAATTATTCTCAACTGTTGAACCAGTTAGTCCAGTAAGACATAAAACAAGCATTTCAACAATAATACTCTCGCAGATGTACTGTTGTACTTACATATGAATTAGGACAGATAATAACAAACAAACTTATCGAATATATAAGTTACAATTTTGCTAATTAGTAGAAATATTCAAATGTGATACGATTAGTTGAGATGCTTCTGAATCAAAAATGTATCTATCTTATCCCATCTTAATATTTCCAATTACCACAGCAACACCCGTAACCAAATATTAAAGCTTTAATAAGAAGTAGTCCATTGTTATAATATATATACCAATGAAAACTCCTCCGATCTTGTATTAACAATTAAAGCCAGTGACTATACTTGCTATATGATTAGAGTCATATTATTTTTCACTAATCTTAAGTGAATACGACGATGTATTCTACCGAACAATCGCTTCCCACTCCTCTCCGATAACTGGTGTGGTCGAGAGTAAGTAAGATCTAATCTCCGCTCGAAATGCTTTCTTTTTTTTACCAAGCGTCCATAGACTCACCACCTCACCTAAGCGAGTTGGAGAACCCCCATTCCAAACCATAAATTCACATAGTTTCCAGGATGTGGACGAAACACGAAGCATATGAATTTACTTGGGCTACTGGCAACCTTGGGGACGGTGGCTGGCTCTCACTGTACTATCCTTTTGCATCGTATTCTAGTTCATCCGCTTTGACCTGAAAGTCTCTCAGATTAAAACTCAATTATCTGGAGCGGGTTTTTCCATATACCAGGCTATGAGATATACTTATTGAGTGAAGGTTGGTGAGACTACCTTATTGTTCCAGATAACATAGGTAGAGCGCATTTCAAACCCGGGGCCCACTGGTTGAACGTAGAATGTTGACACCTCAACATCATTTAAAATACGGAACGACAGTTTACTCCCTTACCGCAGTCGCTACCAAATATTCCAGCACTTTGTTCATCATTATACTGTTAATCATTCTTCCATTAGAGCTGTCTTATTTACTTTTTACAATCTCACTTCTTATCGATTTCTTAATTTTGATCAGCTGTTCGCTGTCCTTTGAAATCTTAGCCTATCTGTATCCTTTCCAGTCGTTGCTAGAAATGTAGCCTCTGTTGCACTAATATACATCAATCCGTATATTGTACATGGAGTTTAAGCTCGACACCATACATAGTTCGTTGATTGATGCTAATCAGAAAAACGGCAAGTTCAGTTAGGAACCTTAAAAACCTCACTGCTGATGCACACTACATCCCAAGGAAAAGCCTGGGAATAACTTACCTATCATTCAGCTCAAAAATTCATTTCATGTAGTTATCTAGGCACTCTATGATTTACGGGTTCAATTTCGCTGGTGTCGGTGTCACTATAAGCCCCACCATAGCGTAACCTCATTGGGCTCCCAGTAAAAATGGTTTATGTGCTACTGGCTTATAATAAAGTAGCCACAGAAACATCTTTTCGTTATCTCTGCTTTATTAATGCCAGTTTGTAGCCCTAGATGTAACTCGAGATGATTTACATTGAAGTGGGTGACTTTCTGGATCATAAAGGGCCTGATGCCGGTGAAGGTGGGTAGACTTTGGTTTTCCCCCCTTGAAACGCTCTCATGTAAACACGCATTCAAAGCCTCTGCCATGTAAGTCCTATTTATCGTCCGCACACGGCGACGGTGTTCCTGACATTAGTGGAAGGGCAAGTGAGAAAGTCTGCTATTTACAAAGGAACTAGTGGACGTGCAGGTTTACCTAGAGGAGCTGGAAAACCATGACCCCAAAGCCTATGGAATACAAGGGCTACAGAATCCGAATGTATCTAGTGACATTTGAACCAGTTTAGGTCACCGAAAACACGGGGACGTAGCTCCCTAAGCTAGTCCACTGCCTTATGCATCAGACTTCAATTCAAAGGCTCGAGTTTGGCTATTTAAGACAACCACCTGCTTCGAACTAGGAATCCAGCCCCTCCTCACAACCTACGAGATCTTGGGTGGCTCATCTCCTATTACCCACAATGTATCAAGTGTTTCTGATAATTTCATTTATCTGAGAAGTCACGTTTCAGGAAGTTAGGTTGGTTAAGACAGATGAAATGTTTGTTAGGACATATTAATATCAGCATTGATAAAAGGGTAAACAGAGGACTCAGTACTGCTTGCGCGCAAATGACACCTCAGCCATTCCGTTACGCAAGGGTCATCCCTCAGTTTTCGTCGTTCATCTGGATGTCTCTTTCTTTAACGGTCACATGTACTGCACCATTGTTGACCTCGCCATAGATACTACGAAATAATGCAATCATACTTTGGTATGGGCAATCGTGTCCAGTTATGAAGCCACAAATGTGCTTATCTAAGTAACACCATCTACTAGTTTAAGTCAACATTTACCGCAGACAATATCCGGGAGTTCTCAAATGAGTACATGATCCAATGGTGCGCATAGGTTATGCACGTCGTCTTCAACATGAGTGTCAGCTGGTAACGTAACGTGGCACCGTGGAGTGAAGGATGGCGACCCTGACATTAAACCTAGAGTAATCGAATCCCACAACCTACACACACCAAATACAGCGGAGACAGAACAGAAAGTGATCATCCTGAACACGTCACCCCAATACGCAACACTCCCTCTAAGCTGACTCACTAGGATAACCAAAGGATAGTATTTTATGACCAGCACGGGATCGGAATGTAAAGGTAACCTTAAAACACGTTTCCCCTTCATACACCCTGTGTGAGGCATTACTGTAGGTTTTACTTTCACACTTTTATTTCCCCAACTATTCTCTTGGTGCTACAAAATACTAAGTAAGTAGGGAGAGTATGTATGACGTTCTCCGTTACTGCTATTCAAGAATCTCATCCCTAATGGCACACGTGTCAACCAGATAAGCTATATTATCTCTATGTTACTCCGTCACGTATTTCCAAGTGGAACAAAACAAAGCCCAGAACATCTCTTTAAAAGTACTTTATTTATACAGAAACATGAGTAATTATGATGAACAAAACGTCACAGCAGAAGCTATGAACAGTGTTACAGTTGTCCACGAACTAATCGAAAGCATGAAGTTACTCAAAGTATTTTATGAAATCATATATACGTAACCACGCTTGAAAGCACTGAAAATGAAAAATAGGAGCGCTTCTTCATATGTTGATTAGCGCAGGATTCAAATCAGTTGAAAGTTGGAGGGTGAGTATACCTAAAAACAAAGTCATCACAAACACTTAAGTACAGGGAAAAATAACACCGATATGATAAATAAGATGATTCGCTGTAGGTTAATATGTTTAGCTAGTAGAGAACACTCAGAAAAAATTCCGAATGATGTTATTAACCTATAAGGAAAGAATACAAGGTTGTGATATGCAGACAAGCTGCGGGGCTACCATGCTCGCTGCTCAACAGTAGCTGAAGTGGTAGCGAACAATAGAAGCACGTTGGTTACATCAATTAAGAATCGTTGTACAATGTATATCTTAAATAACCTACTACAACCTACTTGTGGTTGATGTGAGATTGAGGAAGAGATGACGTGAAGTTCAAAGGGTTAAAATTGGTCGATGAATGAGCTCCAGAAGATACCAACTGTTTCTGAAATCCAGTCAGAGTTTGCTGATATTGCTGTTGTAACAAATTGAATTGATGCATTAGAGCGATTGCAGTCGTTTGTTGCAGACCAGCATTTGTCCCATTCTGAAGCGAACATTGAAAACCAGGGGGTGTAGGAAGAAGACCAACATTATTGTATCCAGTTTGAAAAGAAAAAAGAGGTGAGGGTTGAGGAAAATAAGATAATCTATTGGCAGATACTGTTGCACTGCGCTGTTGGTGAGTTACCAGATTCTGTCGAACACCATTTGATGTAGACTGTGCATGTTGCTGATGCTTTCGGTTGGCACCAACTTCTAGAGGCTGTTTGTAATTCTGAGGCGACGCGATTTGTGCTCCATTCTGATTAGCTTGCAAGCGATTTACTGACACTTCAGTTGACAGACTTTTCTGAGCACTAACCTCCGTACTCTGCGTTGTAGCAGAGGTAGTCGGGATACATGAATCTTTCTTTAAAGTGAGATTATTAATATCCTCTGTTATCTTCGTAGTATCAGACCTATGTTAAAGTGGAAAAAAGATTTTAGATAACCGAGTGATAAAACTGAATTTGATTCAATGTCTCTACATACTCCAAAAATGCTTTACTTGTGTACCTTAAATGTATGTTGGAGACTAATGTAAATGAACTGCGCTACTGAAGTCCTAGAGTACACGAATCAGTGTCAATATTACCAAGAAGGATGAATCTACCACGGCATACAGAAGGAAACAACTGATTGGTCTGAGTGCAAGTAGGAGTCACTGGACTTCGCTTAACTATAGTGCTGCTTTCCAGCTTGGTAGTGATCGACGGTTCCCCACAGATTAAGGTATAACGTAGCTACGGTATTTGACTATTGAGTAGCATTTTATACATTTAAAACCTAGAGAGTAAGGAGAAATTTCATGTGGTGACCATTTCTTAGGAGAATACCGATTGAGGGCCACGCACTGACAAACTTACGTTATTTACTGAAGTTATTGGGATGTTGGTTTCACCATAAAGGAAGAATTTCTTAACAATTACAACAAAGACCCCTTAAACTTTAAGGACACTCGTAACTCGAGATGGGCCGAAACCACTTATTTCACATGGCGCAAACTCAACAGTGTAATGGGAAGAAAAACCCAGCGAATGACCAAAGATACAATGGAGGGGCAGCCACCTTCGTCTTCACTTACGTAGGAATCAAGTAGTTAAAGCCATTTGGTGTTGCCGCACATGGATTTGAATCTCACTGGAAATAAAATGCAAGCAGGTAAAGTGGGGAGCATTTTGAGATATTGTCCATCAATAAACACTCTAACACTGACACGACCAAGTAACCAATGTAACGCAGAAGACAGCAGCTTGACTGAACGGACGATCATACAGCAATGGGAAAAATTGATTTCATTGAATGACTAGTACTAGTCAACAAAATTTATCTTAAATATCCAAGTGTCAAGTGAATGTATGTGACTCACAGGTGACGATAGATACAGGGCATTGAATGACCTGTCAAATAGATGTCCTTTGGACAATACTCATAACCAGTCAACCGAAAACATGTAGTGCCAGCCAATTTATATTAATTTTCATAATCTTGAAGACGGAAAGCATTGAGACATATACCTATTGTTCGGAAAACTTATTCTTGAATGAACAGGCCCCAAAGAAAAATCGATCCACCAGTTGGTGGTTTAAATGGTTCCACATAGCATTTTGGAAGAAGAGGTTGCTTGAAGGTTTGCAGCAAAAGTTCAAGTCATATTGTTATGATGCTGCTAAGCTCGCCCTTACTAATTTCAGTCCTATAGACTTGTAGTCAAATGCACTAATCAATCTGCCTATGTGTCAAACACTCGGACCTCAGAAAATTAATAACACAAATCGCAGCAAGCATACCGGAAGCTTATATAGGTGGTGTCATTAGGACCCCAATTCCTGTTTCAAAGCTGCTGAATATACCTTGAAAACAAGCTACAAAAGGCCGCAGGCGGGATAGGACCACAGAACACAACATAAAGTTCAGACATGGAGCATCATGACGAAAGCACAAGCCACTGTATATTCCAAATCCAACGTATCATGCTCTATATACTCAGCCGCTAACCTTCTTGACAAATGTTGTAGGTGGTGTTAGGAATAAACTATGTAGAAGGCACGGATGTCATCTAAGCTTCAGGTCTGCCGTAGATGCAGTGGCTGAGTAAATTCTGGAAGGTCAATGTTTAGACCCCGTCAGGTTATCTAATCCATGGACCAGTGATAAAATCATAGACACTGCTTAGGTTATCTCCCCATAACCTACCTCAGCAATGCACTGAGAAGCAAGAATATCTCAGAAAACAACTTACTCTGCTGAATCTTTCGTTTCCCCTTCAGCTGGATCCGGAGTCGCGGAGCCCATAATCCTTTTCCTTGCAGCGGCATAATCTGCCTCTCTTTGTTCAAGAGTTTTAGTGACGACAGTTGGCCTAAAATCGTAGATAATCCTGTGATAAGACAAACCTCTGTGGTGTTTTTTGAATCTCAGACGGATGTGGACATGGTCGTCTCAAAATACGAATAGGCGGTTGTTCCATATCAATTAAAGCTGTACAGGAATTAGCTATATGATCCACTTACTAATGCCTAAATAGTTCACGTAAGATAGCCATCAATACTGAGGTCATGAAAACATGATTTCTGATTTGACAATAACGTCAGCATTCAGCTTTAGAGTACATCACAGTCTTCGAATCACAACCCAGACAGCTTCCAGCGCAGCATTCGTACTGCCCGGATAATTGTATGCATGGACTTAACTAAACAAACAATCAGCAATGAAACCAAGTAAACAAATTCAGTCTTCCAACCTTAAATCTGCAATTATTCAGTGCACAAATAAAAATACAATAAAATTTTAAGTTTCCTTCTGTTTTCGCCTATGGAAACTTTGCAACTTCCTCCCACGGGCACACAGGGAGACTAAGCCTTTTCAGAGTATAGACATTTAGTTCAACATTTATTCACCATTATATGAAGCTTCTTTTCTTCATAAAACACAATTATGCAGGCCTTTAACGTTTATCAGTATAGTAAGTCGTTACTCCAACCACTAAATGACTGTTCGGACTCTTTTAAGTGTATCGGTCTCCTTTCTGCGGTAACTAAATCCATTTATATGATAAAAGAACAGCAAAAGTGCATTAAAACGAGCCGAGCAGCCGACTATTACGGCGCCTGAATACGCTGAAATACTACCGCAAAACTAAATTAAGTAAATTTACACATTCATTATGATGCACTATCTTATCATTATGTATTTTGTAGGGACTGAAAATGCCGTTTTCCGAGAGATCTCCCAAGTAAGCACACTATTTGCTTCTACGTTGCTATTTATATTGTACTTTCCTAGTTCTGTGCTACGACAAGATCGTTGCCTGTACTGTGAATATTCCTAGGGATACTATTTTGTTCATGCCAGTGTGTTATAACACTTAACTTTTCGGTGACTATGCACCATTGTGAATGAATTTTACGGAGAAGACGCACCGTATAGTCGTCAGCTTGGTTATTGTAGATATGATAACTCGTCTGCTCAATAACAATAAAGTAGATCCAGTGAAATTGTAATTTTGTAGGTCCACTTAAAACTTACCACAGCCTGTCGCCGTAACTGTAATTACCCCCTAAGAAACCACCATTTGTTCTGTCCACACCGAATCAAAATATAACAACGAGCTCACCAACATAGCATTTACACATCCTTTCAAAGCATCTAGTAAAGAGCATCAATTAGGTAACCCGAGAAATTAGAGACCTACCGAACAGTGAAAAGTCTGCTGGTTCGAATGAAGGAAGTACCTATAAGTGGATAGTACAGGGTCTGCATAAAGCCCAAACTCCTTGCCTGGAAAAATCGAAGGGTTATGTGGGATCAAACACAGAAATTAAACCTGATTTCATTACATCAATGTATCAACACATCCTCAAGGCACTCCAAAAGGCCTGTTTTTCTACTCATACGGCCTAAAATTCAATAAAAACTTCGTTGGAGATTTTTCGTATGGATTTCACTTGAAGTCCCTTCGAAGTTCTTACGTTAGCTTTCTTATCCAGACGAAAATGTGGTCTTTTCAAGGAAAACTACGAATGATAGACTATGACCAGATTCCTCATGGTTAAGTGGTTACTGTGATTCACGTAAGCCAGTAAATCATCATCGTTTTCTAGAAAACACCAGGAATGAGCTAAATTCCGTCGGTGGCACAGCCGTTAGGACTCTCGCCGACCATGCACATGGTTCGGGGTCCGATCCCCTGCCGACGCATACTTGATTTCAATAGTTGGCCCGTAAAATTTGGGCTACCTGTATCATATGCTGAAAATTCCATACTTGTACCAAAAATACCGTGTGGAATCAAGATATAATCAAAATAAGATATAGTAGGTGCAGTTTGACCTCATAAAAACCGGGTCGGTCTTGAACTTAAACGTGGCATTCCTGATACACCAGTTAGAGTCTCATTAAAAAGATAGATGACCCAGAGTAATTCCTTTCAGCGATATAGGAATCGTCAAGCCACGTGCCATTTTTAAAATGCTTGGCTTTCCCTACAACTTGTAGTCATCTGTTGAAGGACCACGCACTACGAAAGCAAATGCAGCCTCGTAAACATGAGGATACACCTTAACTTGAATGATTAGACATTAACAATATAAGTGTTTAAGCATCAGACGGTAGGCAAGTTTAGCAGCAAAGCTTGAGTAAATAAGCTCGTGGAGACAGTTAATGCAAGTAGACAGGATGATATAAATGATAGGATTAAAAATGCTATAAATCCAAACTTACTAATCTCACACAAGACGATGCCAGGTGAGTTTAAACTTCCGTGCCGAGCAATGAATGTAGTTGATAGGTTAAAAGACACTGAATTTCGGTTATTTCCATTGCATATTGGACTGCTAGCCTTCGGTTTTACTACATATTCACTCCCAATTTCACTCAACTGTTATCTCCGCTTTTTGATATTGTCTCCAGTAAACAATTTAAGTGGGAACAACAACATGAGGATATCTTGAAAAGAACTTTGGGGTTTCTTAATAGACGAGATCTCTTAAGACCTCTCTCATCGAATGATAAGTCTGTTCTCGCTACAGATCCTTCTCCTATGGGTGTGGCTGCAGTACTTCAGCAAAATGGACAATCTATTATTTGTATTTCACTACGTCTAAGTAAGAGTGAACAAGGGTACTCGCAAACCCAGAAAGAGGCTCTAGCAGTCGTATAGGAAATAAAACGCTTGCACAAGAATCTCTTTGGTGCTAAGTTTCACACACTTATCGATCGTCAGGCTTTGAAATTCACTTACAATCCAGAAAAATAGATCACCTGCAGCTATGGTTCAAAGATGGAATTTAGAGCTAAGTGCATATGGTTACACCATTGAACACAGGTCGGCTAAGGATAGACCTCGTGCAGACTTCTTATATCGCTAATCACTATTTGAAAATTCTCTTAATGACACTGATTGTTTGTTAGTCCAGCTGTTACCTGTGGATAGAGTTTGACTTATGTACGATCATCATCATCATCAGTCCCTTGACTTTCGTCGTGGGGGTGCTATGACAGTTCGCGCTATCAGTCTTCGCCATTCTTCTCGGTTTAATGCTATTTTCTGTAGCGTATCCAAGGGCATTTCAGTCCACTCTTTTATGTTGTCAAGCCAGCTCTTATTCGGTCGACCTCTCTTTCGTGCTCCTCCTACTGTGCCTTGTAGAATCGTTTTGGACAATGTGTCATGTCTTACCGTGTGGCCGAACCATTGTAGTTTCCGTTTCTTTACGATTGAAAGGAGTGGTTCCTGTTTTCCTGCCAGTCTATGGACCTGGTGTAAGACATATTCATTAGTTTTCCTTTCAAGGTAACTTATTCCTAGGATCCTTCTATAGCTTTTGTTTTCGAAGGCTTGTATTCTTCTTTCTGTCTCTGCATTCAGGGTCCAGCTCTCACATCCATATAGGAATACAGAGAGGACCAGTGACGAGTAGAGTTTCATTTTTGCTGAGACGCTGATGTTGCTCTTCCATATTTTCCCTAACTTGGACATGGTGGCAGAGGCTAGGTTTAGTCGAATTTTTATTTCCTTAGTGGACCTTCCATCTTTTGTTAGGGTAGACCCAAGGTATTTGAAAGTTTCAACCTCTTCTAATACATGTCCATCAAGTCTGATACATCTATCTGAGTTGTTTCCTCCGTTAATGAGTATTTTGCTTTTTTCTGTGCTGATTTCCATGCCCACAGATTTGGTTGCAACATCAAGTCTTGAGGTGAGGTCCTGAACTTGATCAATGTTTTCCCCAATGAGGGCTATATCATCAGCAAATCTGAGGTTGGAAATTGGTCTTCCGTTTATGCTAAGTGTCGGTGTAAAGTCATGTAGGGTTTGTGTCATAATATGTTCGAGGAATAAATTAAAGAGGACTGGTGAGAGAATGCACCCTTGGCGTACTCCTATAGTTGTTCTGAAGAACTCGCCAGTTTGATTATTTAGAGATACTGCACTACTAGATTTGTTATATAAAGACTTAATAACCTCAATTATGTTTTTATCTATATTGTAGTTATTCATGACTTGCCATAAGCCTTCGTGCCACACACGGTCAAAGGCCTTCTTAAAATCGATAAAGTTGTGTACTAGCATTTTTTGGTGTTGTAGACATTTTTCGTTTAGTACCCTTATGTTAAAAATTTGTTCAGCAGTGCTTCTGCCCGGCCTGAATCCGGCCTGTTCTTCTGAGAGTATTTCCTCTACTTTCTTTTTGAGTCTGTTCAATATTACTTTCAGCATGACTTTACTTGGGTGGCTGATTAAACTTATTGTTCTGTAGTTCTCGCACTGCTTTGCGTCCCCTTTCTTAAATATTGGAATGATTAGTGACTGAGTCCATTCTTTAGGCCATTCTTTTTCTTGCCAGATTTTTTGACAGGCTGCTTTCAGCCATTTAACTGTTTGTGGTCCACCATGTTTAATTAGTTCTGCCGGTATGTTGTCAATTCCTGGTGATTTATCTCCCTTAAGTGATTTTATTGCTTCCTTTACTTCTGACTCTAGTATGGGTGAATCACCGATCTCCCTATTGTCCCAGCATGAATTGTTTATTAGGCTATAATTAGGGCTTATTTTATGATTGTAGAGTCCCTTACAGTATTCTGTCCACCTTCTAAGGATATCTGCTTCTTCTGTTAAGAGGGTGCCTTTACCATCCTCAATTACGGTTGCTCTATTCAGTTTCGTATTGGTCAGCTTACTCAGTGTTTCGAATGCTTTTTTATTGTTGCCTCCCCTTAAGCTATTATCGATGATATTACATTGCTCAGTAATCCAGCCCTCTTTTGCTCTCTTCATTTTGGAGCGTATTTCTTTGTCTACTGTTCTATACTCTTCCCTGTACTGGGAATTAAGTCCTTTCTTCTTTTTTAGTTCTCTTCTTGTATCACACAGGTTTAAAATATCGTCTGTGACCCATGGTTTGATTTTCTTTCTTTTGTTACCCAGAACTTCTGTTGCTGATTCATGCAGCACTGTTTTAATGGTTTCAGTGAGTGAATCGATATTGTCGTGAATCAAGGTAAGTGCAGCGAACTTGCCCCCTACATTTGCCTTAAACATTTCTGCTATGTTTGGGTCCCTAAGTTTCTCTAGGTCATATCTGATTCGAGGGCTTATTTGTCTGCGGTTCTGTTTTAGTTTTAATTTTATAGTCATTAAAACCATGTCATGATCGCTGCCTATGTCTGCTCCAGGAA